TGATAGAAAACTTTACTTTAATTGACATCAACTTATTAGCTTCGATGCGAAGCTGAGAAGGTATTAATTTTACTATGATGTGTTTTTTTTTTGTGTCTGTATACGCTCAATCTCAGCTCTCACTGAACTGAATTGATAAAAATATGTCAAAAGATCACAAATCGTATCTAATTGAAGACATTACCCTCAAAAATTGAAAAAAAAATCCCTCGTTCCCCGTAAACGGGGGAAATATCCCGAAAAATTACAAATTTAAAAATCGCTAATATTCGATATTTTTAAAAAATAACCGAATCAATATAATTTTTTTTTTTATAGATACCTTAGATATTTACCTATCATTTTATATATTTTTTTTATAAATTTGACCCTTTCCCTGCCCACAGAAGAAGATTCAAAATGACAACTTTTTCACAAAAAATTAACTTTTTCAACATAACTTTTGAAAATGTTCCGAAAAGACTGACACTTATATATATATATATATCTTAAATTAAAGCTAATGTAATATACTTTAATTTGAAAAAAAAAAATTTGACCTCTAGACTTGTATTCATGGTGAAAATGATTACCGTATGCAAAAATATGCTATTTTTTTGAAAACATTCTTGATATTATATTTTACATTTTTTAACATTAGGAAGCTATAACTTTTTAAAAAATGCATGAATCAATTCTATTTTTTAATAATAAATACTTTATATATACCTCTTTCATTCGACATACTTCTTTTTAAATCGGACCATTTCCCTATATACAGGGGGGGTGCAAACCTTTTAAAATGAGTATTGAAAGTAGAACTTTTTCAATTTAACTTTTGAAAATGTTCCGGAAATACTGACACTTTTATATATATCTTAAATTAAAGCTTATGTAATATACTTTAATTTAAAACAAAAAACCTCTGGATTTGTCTTCATTGTAAAAATGACTACCGTATTCAAAAATTTGCTATTTTTGTGTTAAAATTCTGGGTTTTGTATTTTATTTTATTTTAAAATACCTGACAAGGGGAGTACAGATTTTCATAAATATTATATAAATTAAAATTGATATAGTATAGATAGTTTAACTTATTTAAATATGTTTGTTTCTTTTAAGTCGAGAAAAATAACTTTGAAATTTGAACTAGCTTAATAGCCTATTTTTTCACCCGACGGTAGCGACGTACGGTTGCCGAGTTGGTAAAATTTATGTTTTACACGCTTGGGGTACGAGGTTCCAACCCGCATATGGCAATGAATTTTTTGCATTTTTTCTTATTTCTTTTTAAGTTAGTATACATGTTTAAGTCGTTTGATTCTTATCTCATTTAGATTCAATAATTTCAATAAAGATCAAGGATCCCATAATTTTAGTCGCCCCTTGTAAGAAGAAATTTCTTATTCGTATTAAAATTATTTTACTATATTTTAAGTTTTAGCTTCGATGCAAAGCCGAGAAGATGTTTTTTTGTGAATATCATTTATTTTCTCTGCTCTAACTTGACCTACTTTTTTCAACGATACGTCCAATGACTACAATTCGTATCTAGTTGAAGATATTACTCTCAAAAATTGAAAAAAAAATTCTAATTTATCAATTAAACAGTTAGTTATTACATCGTCTCCATAAAGACAATTAAAATCATTAATTTCTAATGTTTTCAAAATATTTATTAACGAATGAAGTTTGATATGATAGGTTTCAACTACAAAATTAAATCATTTTACTTTGTAATTTAATAATTTTAGCTTCGATGTGATTTTTACTGTATTTGTGTGTGCTACTGCTAAACTACATCCAGAGAAAAACCTCGTTCTATATAATAAATTCATTGTTCAATTTGATAAATATATCATTACTATTGAATCTATGATATATTTATCAATATGATGATTTTTTTTCTTATCTTGAACAATAATTTTTCATAAGAATAATTATATTGTTCGTATTAATAAAACATTATCATAAACCCTTGATAACATTTCTCTATCAAAATTGATTGAGGTTTTTCTTTGGGTGTATAATATTACAAATTTTTTTGTAACATGTTACTATATAAATCATTTCCAAAAAAAATGATTGTTTTTTCTCCTGAATTAACAATTGATTTTTACAAATATAATCAAATTTTATAATACACTCAATTGAGTAAATCTTTTTAACAACTTTGTTTTGATTGGTACATTTAGTTAAAGTAAATNTACAACTTTTTTTTGATTGGTACATTTATTTAAAGTAAATCATTAAAATTAATTAAGTTCTTAATATTTCAATTGTAGAATTTTTTCTACAAATTACAAAAGTTACTAGGAAATTATTACTATTGCTTCTATTTAAGTTATCTATTACCATAAAAATGCAAAAAAATATTGAGCTTTTCTGATAAATTTACAATAAATAGTAATTATAAAACTTTCTGACTGCATATTGATCTTAACGATACAATTTTTTTAATTGTCATAAAATTTTCTATTTAATGATGTCAATGTCAAACTTACCAATTGACCTAAAAGTTATGGTAAAATATATTTTTTTTTTATTATAAACATTTACAACAATCAACTTTAAACAATTAAAAAAATAGGTTAAATATGTCATTTTCCTTATTTTTAACTTATTAATAATCAAATTAATATTAAATANTTATTTTTAACTTATTAATAATCAAAATCAGTATTAATTTAAAACAAAATTTTTTTGTTCTTAATTATTTTTTTTTATATGTAAATACTATTTTTTAATAATATTAAAACTTAGAAATGATAGAAAAAGTCTAATTGNTAATATTAAAACTTAGAAGTTATAGAAAAAGTCTAATTGCACATTTGAAAACATCGCGAAAAGTTGATTTAGAATAGTATATTTTTGTTTCTGATGAAAGTTCCTTGTAGTACAATGTATAAAACTTATAACTTTGTTAACTGTTATAACTTTATCAAAAATGGCTAAATCAGTATATATATTTTTTTATTTAGATGCATGTCTTTATCTATCATTTCGTTTTTTTTTTTATAAATCTAACACTTTACCTACCCACAAGAGGGATTCAAAATAATAACTTTTTTCTTTTTTAGTCAAAGTGAATCATTAAAATTAATTCAGTTCTGGATATTTCAATTGTAGAATCTTTTTAAATACCAAAAATTACTTAGAAATGATATTATGATTTCTATTTAAGTGTTCTATTACGATAAAAATGCAAAAAAATATTGAGCTTTTCTGATAAATTTACAATAAATAGTAATTATAAAACTTTCTGACTGCATATTGATCTTAACGATACAATTTTTTTAATTGTCATAAAATTTTCTATTTAATGATGTCAATGTCAAACTTACCAATTGACCTAAAAGTTATGGTAAAATATATTTTTTTTTTATTATAAACATTTACAACAATCAACTTTAAACAATTAAAAAAATAGGTTAAATATGTCATTTTCCTTATTTTTAACTTATTAATAATCAAAATCAGTATTAATTTAAAACAAAATTTTTTTGTTCTTAATTATTTTTTTTTATATGTAAATACTATTTTTTAATAATATTAAAACTTAGAAATGATAGAAAAAGTCTAATTGCACATTTGAAAACATCGCGAAAAGTTGATTTAGAATAGTATATTTTTGTTTCTGATGAAGGTCCCTTGTAGTACAATGTATAAAACTTATAACTTTGTTAACTGTTATAACTTTATCAAAAATGGCTAAATCAGTATATATATTTTTTTATTTAGATGCATGTCTTTATCTATCATTTCGTTTTTTTTTTTATAAATCTAACACTTTACCTACCCACAAGAGGGATTCAAAATAATAACTTTTTTCTTTTTTAGTCAAAGTGAATCATTAAAATTAATTCAGTTCTGGATATTTCAATTGTAGAATCTTTTTAAATACCAAAAATTACTTAGAAATGATATTATGATTTCTATTTAAGTATTCTATTACAATAAAAAAGCAAAAAAATAATGAGTTTTTCTGATAAATATATTGTAAATACTAATTATAAAATTTCCTGACTGCATATTAATCTTAAAAATTACATTGTTTTAATTCTCATATAATTTTCTATTTAATGATTCATTCTAGTCAACGAAGGAGTAATTTTGGAGAATAGCAGAAAAAATTCCCAAAAAAAATTTTTTTTTTTTAAATAGGCAATTGGTGTATTATTCCAAAAGCAACATCAACTCTTATTTCTTTAATTATATCATGATTAGTAGTTCTTTGATTTTAAAATATAATATTTGNTGATTAGTAGTTCTTTGATTTTAAAATATACTATATGAATAAATAATAATTATAATTATTAAATTTAGTATGAATTGATATTCAATAATTTAATATTGTTATTTAAACGGAGAAATTATAAAACTAATAAAGAAGTTGTATTTTGCTTTAATTTTACGTGTATAAAAATTTAAAGGGCTTGATACAATAATTATCAATAAAAACTGTTAGTTACTATAAATTAATGCACTGGACTTCAAGGAACTTTCATCAGAAGCAAAAATATACTTTTCTAAATCAAATCTCGCGTTGTTTTCAAATCTGCAATTAGACTTTATCTATCAGTTCTAACTTTTTATATTATTACTAATTACATATAAAATAATAATTAAAAGAAAAAAAAATTGTTTTCAAATAATTACTGATTTGATTTTTTATATGTTAAAAATAATCAGTCCAAACTTTCATTTTTAACCTATTTTTTTGGTTCTTTAAAGTTGATGAAAAATTTTTGATAAAGATTTATGAAACTTTATAGTCAAAAAAATAGAATATATTACCATAACTTTTAGCTCAATTAAAAATTTAAAATTGACATCTAGGTCAGTCAACAAAGGAAAAATTTCTTAAAAAATTCCCAATCAAATTTTGTTTCATTAATAGTTGAATTAAAATATGTATAATGACATACTAATAGTCCTCATTAATTGAAATTGAGCTTTTTTTTTTGCCACGCAAAAGTTCAAAAATATCAGCTTTTTTAATTTTGTCAAAAAATATTTAGCAATTTATGAATCAAATTTGGTGTCTGAAGATTTACCTGACCCGGGCAAAGTTCTAGATAGCCTATCTATGAACATGGATTATATTATTGAGCCACCTACAGCTTTCTCAGGTATTTATATGACAATTCGTTTTTTTAGCTTCGAAGAGAATTTCAGCTTCTCATCGAACTTTTAATTATATTTAACTAAAAGTGTCTTGTATACAGATACGGCCACTCAGTCTGCTTCATTGTCACCAATTTGTGAAACAAATTTGGAGTCTGAAGATTTACCTGACCCGGGCAAAGTTCTAGATAGACTATTTAAGAATATGGGTTATAATGTTGAGCCACCTACAGTTTTTTCAGGTATTTATATGACAATTCGTTTTTTTAGCTTCGAAGAGAATTTCAGCTTCTCATCGAACTTTCTTTAAAATGAACAAATTAATATAATTTTTTTTTTTGTTGATGTATTTACTTATCACTTAATATATTTATTTTTATAAATCTGACCATTTACCTGCCCTCAGAGTGGATTTAAAATGACAACTAATTATATTTAACTAAAAGTGTCTTGTATACAGATACGGCCACCTAGTCTGCTTCATTGTCACCAATTTGTGAAACAAATTTGGAGACTGAAGATTTACCTGACCCGGGCAAAGTTCTAGATAGACTATTTAAGAATATGGGTTATAATGTTGAGCCACCTACAGTTTTTTCAGGTATTTATATGACAATTCGTTTTTTTAGCTTCGAAGAGAATTTCAGCTTCTCATCGAACTTTCTTTAAAATGAACAAATTAATATAATTTTTTTTTTTGTTGATGTATTTACTTATCACTTAATATATTTATTTTTATAAATCTGACCATTTACCTGCCCTCAGAGTGGATTTAAAATGACAACTAATTATATTTAACTAAAAGTGTCTTGTATACAGATACGGCCACCTAGTCTGCTTCATTGTCACCAATTTGTGAAACAAATTTGGAGACTGAAGATTTACCTGACCCGGGCAAAGTTCTAGATAGACTATTTAAGAATATGGGTTATAATGTTGAGCCACCTACAGTTTTTTCAGGTATTTATATGACAATTCGTTTTTTTAGCTTCGATGAGAAGCTGAAAAGTTATTGGTATTATTATGATGTGTTTTTTTTTGAGTCTGTTACCACTTTTTCTTAGCTGTCACCGAACCGATCTCCTTCAATAATACGTCAAAAGATCTCAAATCGTATCTAGTCAAAGACATTACCCTCAAAAATTGAAAAAAATTCCCTCGTTCTCCGTAAATGGGTGAAACCTCAAAAAAAAAAATTACAAATTTAAAAATCGCTAATTTTCTAAGTTTTTTCAAATTTGTTTACTTAAAACTGCCATAACTTTCTTTAAAATGAACAAATCAATATAATTTTTTTTTTTTGTTGATGTATTTACTTATCACTTAATATATTTATTTTTATAAATCTGACCATTTACCTGCCCTCAGAGTGGATTTAAAATGACAACTAATTATATTTAACTAAAAGTGTCTTGTATACAGATACGGCCACTTAGTCTGCTTCATTGTCACCAATTTGTGAAACAAATTTGGAGACTGAAGATTTACCTGACCCGGGCAAAGTTCTAGATAGACTATTTAAGAATATGGGTTATAATGTTGAGCCACCTACAGTTTTTTCAGGTATTTATATGACAATTCGTTTTTTTAGCTTCGATGAGAAGCTGAAAAGTTATTGGTTTTATTATGATGTGTTTTTTTTTGAGTCTGTTACCACTTTTTCTTAGTTCTCACCGAACCGATCTCCTTCAATGATACGTCAAAAGATCTCAAATCGTATCTAGTCGAAGACATTACCCTCAAAAATTGAAAAAATTTCCCTCGTTCCCCGTTAATGGGTGAAACCTCAAAAAAAAAATTACAAATTTAAAAATCGCTAATTTTCTAAGTTTTTTCAAATTTGTTTACTTAAAACTGCCATAATTTTCTTTAAAATGAACAAATCAATATAATTTTTTTTTTTTGTTGATGTATTTACCTATCACTTAATATATTTATTTTTATAAATCTGACCATTTACCTGCCCTCAGAGTGGATTTAAAATGACAACTAATTAGATTTAACTAAAAGTGTCTTGTATTTACCTATCATTTATTATATATTTTATAATGTATATAGATACGTCCACTCAGTGTTCTTTATTGACACCTATCACGGATTCAATTTTGCAGTATATAGAATCATTATACTATGTTTTTGGATTTACCGAGACTAGCTCTTTAAATGAGGTGCATGAAGAACCTTCTACTCAGCGCTCTAAAATGCCCGTTACTACGGAATCATTTATGAAGTTTGCAGGATTACCTGATGAAGTCGCAGATTTGGTTATAGAATTAATGAAAATGCGTCAAAATGTATTGCAACCAAATTTAGAGTCACCTCTAGTTATGACAGGTATTTATTAGAATATTCGTTTTTTTTTTAATTTCAAATTTTTCTATAAGTTAATTAGACGACTGACTTAACTCATGTATAATTTTACTTATATGAATTATATACAAGTAATTTTTATTAAAATTTATTATATAAACCAGCTACACGTGTTGAGAGATATACTCAGACAAATTCTGGATCTGAATTAAATGATTTAACTAAAAGTGTCCTGTATACAGAGACGGGTACTCAGTGTATGTTATTGTCACCATCCACGGATTCAATTTTGCAGAATATCGATTTACTATACTCTGCATTTGGATTTAAATAAAAAATTGAAGGAAGATTATTATGATTAAGAAAAAATTATTTTTGAAAGAAATTGTTGTTAAGAGTTAAATAGATGAATAATTATAAATATTTTGTTGTATCATTAAAAAATTATGTACTTATATACTTAATATAGTAACGTATTTTCATGTTATACGTCATTAATGAAAATTATTAAATTTTATAAAATTTTTCAAAAAGTTAATATATTTTTATTTGAAAAACAGATACGGCTTGCTTATTTAATTTTAATAAATGATATCTTAAGATAAAAACAATAATAATTAAAATAAAAATATTATATCATCAACAATAGTTGAAATCTAATTTGATATATATTACTTATGTATTAGAGTAGTAACGTGTGCAGGTATTTTTAAAAAGGGGGCTAAACACTTGTTTAATTTTTAAATACTTTTATTAGCCCAAAAATTATATACTTTTAAAATTATAGTTGGGTAATGTGGGGGTGGAGGTATATATCGTCTTGAGTATTTCATCCTTGGGTATTATAATGGTCCTTAAAAACAAAGTTTTGAAATCCATCATTCTCACCTTCCTAAATTGTTTTAGTTTATGCAAAAATAAACCGAACAAAACTTGATATTGATTAATCTAATTTAACATGTGTAGTAACAGGGTTGAAAAATTTAATGATAATGTTAGGTTTTTCAGTTATTATTGTTTATATCAAAAGCTATGTTTGACATGGCAAAATTTTTAGAAAAAAATGATAGATCAAGCTATTCATTAGTAAAAAATGTTTAATTTAATTTTCATAAATTTATTTTATTCCTTTTTTTTTTTTTTTGATAATATAATAGAAAATAAAATACTAACAGTTAGGTACTTGCAGTTTTTTTATTCAATTCGTCATAATATATAATAGATATATATTAGATAATATATGGGCATAAAGCGCGGATGAAGTACATATACACCAGTTCGAACTCTAATCAATGACCACAGCTTATTTATTATCTTTTTATATCATTTATTAGATGACATAATTATTAGTGTTCTTAGATTATCTATAGAATATAGAAACAAAATGTTTCCGCTAAATAAAATAAAATAAATTCATAACACTTAAACTGAAAGTTGATTGAGGTCGATGTACCATAAGTGCACGGGACTCATTTTAATTATTAATTAAAATTAAAACTATATTATTTATACATAATTAATTTAAAAACTAAAAAATATTTTTTAGTTTTATTTGATGACTATTTTTGTTTAATTAAGGAAACAAAATTATAAAAAATATATTCCATATCAAAATGCTCAATTTTTTTTTAAATTAATATTTTTTGTCTAAGACTATTTTTTAATACTATAATAATTTACATCCTTTAGCTGAATACTAATATAAATTCAATTTGTATTTTCATTTATTTAAAAAAATTCCCAATATAATCTTCTAAAATAAAAAAAAATCAAGAAATAATATTAAATTTGGATTCATAAACTATAAAAACAGAAATTTATATGTTAAACAATAGTATTCTTTAAAATTTAGGCTTTATTAATTTTGTCTCGTTATTTTTAAATTCTTACCCAATTTGCAATAGTGAAAATCGTATAGCATTGTTAAGTGTAAATTTTTGAACATTTCCAATTATTTTTAGTTGATATCCATTTTTAAAGGTTCTTCTTTTTTAAAGATGTTTTAAACATCAGAATTTTCAGTGATCAATAAATTGTAAAACAATACATTTTTAGGATCCAATAAGTTATCTGATTTAAGAGATGACGCAACGCTTATTTATAGTGATTAATATTTATATTATATATTTCAATCACTTTCATAAAGTGTGGTTAAATAAAAGACTCCATAATTTTCTGAATTGTTAAAATCTGGACGAACAAAAACTTTTTCGCCTCTTACGTCTATATTTATTCTTAATAAAATATTTTAACTTTTCAAATATTGCTCAATTGAGTATTTTTAACACCTTATTACATAATTAAAGGATTTTGATAATATTTATTTTCATTGTTTTTAACTCGAAAACCCATTGATTCGGATATGATATTGAATAAATTAATCACCTTTAAATAATTAAAAAATTTTTTTAATCAATTATTCGTGTTATAGCCATAACGATTTTGCTTTTTTTTTTAATTATCAGTTAACAACTTGAAAAAATTAAAATGTATGAATTAATATATTGACAATATAATTCAAATGTTATTTGTACTACTGAATATATAAATTAAATTAACATTAGTTTGGTATTTTAACATTACAGTTTATCTTATTTTTATTGACTTATATATTTATATTTTTATTATTTTATATTATATACATGTTTTCTTAAATATGTATTATACATATTGTTATAAATAACTAGTTATTATGAACAGTGTGTATCAAAAAATTTTAATATATTTATAAAACTCAAAAAAAAAAAATCATTAATCTTTAAAAAAAAATGTTTGTCATAATAGTCGCGTTAATCCCTCTTTTTCTGAGATGACGATTTAGAAGTAAAAATCAATATTATCCTATAAATAAATGGTAATAAATAATGTGTGTAAAGTTATTAGATTTAATTAAAATATTTCCTTTGGTACAATTTGATTAAAATTGTAAATTATTGAAATATTAATTTGTCATGTGATTGTTTCATTACCCCCAAAGAAAATAAAGTAAAATAATGAACACAAATAGAAAATATATTTGTTGTGACATTTATGTGTAAAAATTCATAAAAATGTTTGTTGTTGAACTACGTTAGAATTACTATATGATATTTTGATGGAAGAATATTTTTATTAAGTGTCCAGTTAGTATGCCGTTTAACCCGATTGATGCCTCATTTCCCAAAAACTATATATTTTCTTATAATATATTGGAGAGCGTTGCAATGCTGTAAAGTGCCGTTGATCATGAAATAACTGTGCCTGTAGTACTGAAAAATAAAAAAGAAGAAGAGTATTGAACTTTTGAATATATATTATTATATTTAGAGAGCGAGGTATACGGGTTTAAGTATAAATATTTTNATATTACTATATTTAGAGAGCGAGGTATACGGGTTTAAGTATAAATATTTTATGCATATACTAATAAGTTATTTTTTTTATTATCAAACGCGCAACAACTATAGTGTTAGTTGGTAAATAATACTATAATATAATGTATGTATTTTCGAGAAAAGTTGGCAACAATATTTCTCTTGCAAGTATAATATCTAAGGCATACTTACTGGCCAACACACATGTATACATAATTATTTAATACGTAATAAACTCAATGAGAGGCTATTATTTTTATTGCCACCCGTACATAAACCAACTAGTGCCCATCCCGTGATCATCCGATGCATCGTTTGGCATGTGTAAATGAATCAAAAACCGCGACAACGATGACCGCAGAACGTTGCAGAAACAAAGTGGAAGTATATATAATAATGTAATATTATTTATTCGTTGCGACCAAAAGAATGATAATAAGTATTAGTGCGTTTATGGAGTAAAAGGTTACAGTACAATGTGTTACGGTACTTAACTGTCAAGACGCAAAGTGCTAAATAATAAAACAATCGTAAAATTGTTTTGCCCACGATAAAAAAAAGATCACAAGTAATAGTTGTACTTAGAATGATGGTGTATGCTTTTTATAATAATGAGATAGCACTAAAATAGCGCACTAAGTTAAAACAAGCAGATTAATGTTAGTGTTCAGAGTAAATTATATCTGCGATATGTAGTAAACGGAACATAGTTTTGATTTTACATAGAGCTCCACCTACAGTCATTTTTCATTTAATGTATTCTACTGCTACCTACGACCATCCCCCGGCGATACTTTATCATGAGCATTTTAAATTTCTCATATAGTTACTTTTTACCGGTAAGCCGCTTTCAATTAGACAAACAATATCTATCACAGTTTTATTGCTCCCGACACATATTTTCAATGTAGTATACCACTTCTACTGGCTTATACAAACCATATATAAAATATATATATATATATAATAATAGAAATTTATGTAATTTGAACTTAAGACAATATCTAAGACGATAAATTTAAATATTATTGTTAAGCGTAAATTATGTAATAATAGAATTTGTCCAATGGAGGTATAATAAATAAAAAAAGCTCAACACTTTTAACTATAAAATTATTATTTAAGACACGGACTATTATGCTTGGATATCTTAAATATAAAAGTAAGTACTAAGAAATTATCGAATAAAAATCATTAAGACTAAGCCATTAATAGCCATTCACTAATCAAATAATGTGGTTAATAGCTAGAGAAATTGGACAATATCAAGTAGAGCTATATAGTAATTAATAAGAAGTATAGATTTCAGTTAGTATGACGACAAATAAATTTTATTGAGTTTTTAATTACAAATTATCAAGGCTAATTGATAATATCAGCAAAAGTGTAATTTATTTGAATTAATGCATCGAATGAAAAATTAATTTGATACTTCATTGGCTACACGAATCGATTGCCTCGGATTTAAACTGATTATATAAAAATGACACTTATTTAGTTTAGCACGTTAATATGTCTTTTTAACACACGGGTAAAATAAATGTATTTATTGCCGACAAGGTCAGGTGTTGTCTAGATATTCTTTAGCTCACATCAATCGTTACATTACTACAAGTTCTCGTAAAACAATGAGTATTAATCATGAGTTCGCATAAAATATTCAAGTTACGTTCGATTCACTATAAAATAATTTTTATTGAATTCGCATTGAAGTATATGTTGCGATTACATTTAATATCGCTTGTGTGCTAATTTCATACAATTATTGATCAATAAAAATATTAATTTATTTTTATCAAATAAATTATAATTTAATCGATGAGTAGTGTATGTTTTGTCGTATATCGTATCATAACGAAACCATTTGAATGGGCGTAAAATAAGTTCATAAATATAATTGAAAACAAACGTATTCATTATATTTTTGATCCGCTTTACGAAAAAAATCTATTTTAATTTTCTGCGATAAAATTATTGTAAAGTATTTATTAAATTTTTATTATTACCAAATCAAAAATGAATTCTTTAGAGCTCTATAAAATTTCAAACAATCAAATGACGATTTAACCTTAAATAAGTATATCTGTTATTAATATCATTTTTTTTGTAGAAAATTAATGTATTTACAATTAATAAATATTATTACTTGATTGAAAATTATAATTTTTAATTCTTTGTTAAAGTTGTTAGATTTTAATCAAATTATTTACATATGAATATTATTTTTTGAAAAAAATATATAATATAAAAGTTTTAGCAATTCTAAAAATTAGATTGAAATTTATAATGACATTTTTATTATCGAGTTACAGTTAAATTTTAAATATTTAACATCTTGTTGAAAAAAAAATATTTTTAAAACTATTATTTCTGTTTGGAAATAAAAACCGATGAAAATCATTCTTCATATTTAACTGTTAGATGTTTTTTTTGTGAGTCATATAGTTAGGTTTAAAAATGATGTAACACAATTTAAATTTTAATATATACAGATCTGTATACATTAAAGATCTCATATAATTGTGATTCTGTTGAAATATTTTTAATAATAACTATTGTTTCCATAATTTACATTTAAAGTATATATTTCATTATGTTATTATTTAAATAAATAAAGTTGACATGCACATAAGGTATAAGTGATCAAAATAGTATATAAATCAAGAAATATATAGAATTAAAAAATACTAAAAATAATTTTCTTATCATTGTTATTATTTTAAGAAAAATCGAGTGACTAGCGTTAAAAAAGTCACGGTAAATATATATAATTTTAATAAACAGTTTAACCTAACAATAGTATAATTTAGTTATTACAATAAAATATCATTTAATAAAGTATTATTATATGTGGGAAGAGTAGGCCTTATACGGAAACTGAACGAACGCACAAACCACTAGAAAACCTACTTAGTATTTTTAACAATAAATTTATTGTTTAATAACAAATATATCGTGCGGGTATAGTTTTTTTAGCTTACAAATTACACAATTACTGTACATATTAATATTACTAAATGATTAGTCACAAAGTCGTCGTCTTAAATATAACAATAACAGAAATATAATATGTTTTGGTATATTTTAAACAACATTTAACTACATTTCCTACAAAATATTTATGTATTTTTAATGTAAATTAAGATATAAATGAACACTTATGAAATCATCAAGAAACAAACAAATTTTTTTTATATTTTTATAGTAAGTATTTATTTAACACGAAATAAACCTGAGTTTATTTTATTTTCAGCTATGATTTCATTTTACAAAACTAAATGTTTACTCTTTTTGTCACATTTGAAAATCGTACTAATTCGATTCGCCTCTTCGGTATACGTCCTTAATAAATTAAATAAAACCTTTTCTGGGTGAACGGCCAGCAAAGCCGTTGTACTGCACTTGCAAAGGTCATGTGCGATATCGTCTGATAATGATGTTTGACCGAGTGTTGAGGGGGCAGTAGTCGAGGGGACGAAATGCCATTGTATTGTCGTGTGATAGAGACAATAAAACATTGCTACCACGTACACACAATTTAGTTCAAAGGTCTTCTATGTAATAACTTCGGATTCGATACGGCTGTACGCGGCACATACAATTTGACACGCCATGTATTTTATTTTATTATATGACCACCGCGTTTTTCTTCTGTGGGATAGGTCATACAACTTTTTTACCATAAACGCATATACAAGTTAGATACAATAATATAATTTTATATATCATGGCGTACAAGTGGCTCCACTATAATGTTGTCCATATAAAAACAATTATAAAGATTCTCTGTAATTTTTTTGTAGGACACCGTAACTCTGATACCATGCAAAGAAAGAACTACAGGTGTAATTTGCATAAAGTCGTGTCAGACCAATCGCCAGTTACCGTTGCAGAAGCGGCAGTGTATCAATCGATAAATAAAACACGTTAGATCCACTTGGTTTAGTATATTACAACTTTGAAATGAGAATATATAGAAAACGGCGTGTGTGTGGATTTCTACGGTTGTTACCGAAACAGATGCCTGTCGCTTTTTATTGATGTCTACAATTGTTTATGACCTTTTTATAATCGACGACCCCGAGACTTGAAAATATATAAATAACAGCTCCTTATTCCTCTAGTATTTTGCTCAACAATCGATTTATAAAGTGAAAATTCTCAAAGGAAAAAATAAAAGAACATTAGTAAAAATTGCAACTTGGACTTAATTTTGATAACCATTTATTGTTGACAACGCGTCCGATAAGGGACGAGTAAAAAATATAATAACCTTCAGTTGGAGAAGAATGTTTGATCAATATATATTAAGACCCATGATGATATTATTTGATTTTTTGATTTAAAAAACAATTTTCATTTTATTTAAAAATATTTGACTTTCCTTAAGACTATATTCGTTAACCGTAGTGAATGAAATGATCTTAAATGCGACTATTAAAATTATAAATACTGTAAATGCATTCGGCTATCGATTTAAGCATTTAACATATCTGTAAAGATACTAAAAATTGCTTATATTACGTGGAAAAATGCATTATTTTTGTTGTTATGTACAGCAGTTAAAAGATAAATGACAAAATATAATATATTAATCATTTTTCAAACACTTCTGGATTTGAACAATGATAACTTTTATTTGAAATTCATTGCGATTACGTTTAATAGTAGTATATTTACAATTCGTAATACGTGTAGTAATTCATTTTTTAAAACGATTGTTCTGATTAACGATACTAGTCTAAATTAGAAATTTTAAATATAATTCTACACAAATTTTATATTGAAATTTTTTCGTGTTTTTTTTTTTAACTTACACGGAACTTTATATAATATGTTTAAAAATGTAAATTTATAATTAATATAATATCAGAGTTATGATAAAATAACCACTTTAAACATAAAATATAGTGGCGTATATAAGGAATCATATAAAAGAGTAGCTTCAGTACTTTTCATAAGTCTAAGTTGGTAAAATTAATTTGTTTTTTATTAAATGCATTTAGAATATAAGTTCTATGTAAAAATTGTAATGTAATATTTTTTATGACGTCTAAAATTAAGCTTTTATAGCTTTACTAGATTTGAACTACAATAAAAATCACGTAAACTGTCAAAAAATTTATTTGTATATATTTTGTAAAAATTCATAACATATAACTAAATTACTAAATGTAATTGAAATTTAATTAAAATGTAACTAATGTGAAATTAACATAAAAATGATATGTAACATTGTGATAAATAAAATAGTAAACATACAAAAAACGTGGTTATCATAAGGAATGTAGGATTGTATTTGTTTGATCCACTTTTCTACTATCGTAGGGCTGTCATTGAAACATGACTCTACGTTGACCACGTTTAATTTTCGTAAAAATCTTTTATTTTTATTTTTGATTTTATATGTTATTATAACTGGAGAAGTCGTGTAAGTATTTTTGGCACACTCAGTAAATGGCAAATTGTTATTAATCGGTGTACTATACACGATGGGCCAAAAAAATTCATAGACTGTGTTTATTACAATATATAACCGGCTTTCTATATGTAATTTGAAAATATTGATTAAAAAACTGAATTTACCTATAACATTACAATCAGATTTAATATTATATTTTAGACACAAGTCGTTAAACTTAAAGTTAAACAATTATATTAAGTTTACTATTAAATGCTAAATATACTTTGAAGTAAAAATATGCGTATTATGAAGTTCTTGTAATTACCTTTAATACAAAATTTTTGCAATTTATTAGTGCCTTTGGAAAACAATTGACCAAAATAGCTGTAAAAAGTAAGCTTTTTTTTTTTTTTGATATGACTAATAAGTTGAGCTAGCAGCAAGCTTTTTGATCTTTGCTCTTTTTTCCAAAGCATTGTATCGGTTTTAAAATAGTCCCAATCTAATTTTTTTCTTCTAAAAAACAAAAATCTTGAAGAGTACATTGTGAAAGGAAAAATTGTCTTATGATTTTGAATTAAATTCATCAATCATTGAAAAATAACTAAAATTATTATAGATATCAAAATTCTGAAATCGCAATTGTTAATAAATAAGATATTGTCAAGGTAATAAGGTTTTCAAAACATCACTATTTCTATGAATTTATAAAATATCGATTTTTAAATTAAATATATTAGTTGTGAGGAATATATTTGTTTAAAATACTATAAAATAAAAAAAATAAGAACAAATATCCTATTTAATTAAATTTCGAAAGCTGAAAAGATTTCACATTCTTTTGATTAATACACCGCGAGTCATAGTAGTGTACTCTACTAAAGGTTAGAGTTCTCACACAGCCGTTGGCTCTTTTTGACTATTGTAGTACTGGAATTGATTTCGTTAGGATTTTACTAGTTTTGATTAAATAAGGTCTTGTATATGATGTTTAACGGTGGTCACGAAACGCTGCAAAGTCTGAAATGATAAAAACCATTCATTATTATGCATTCGTTTTCTATAAAATAGAAGGCACAAACTAAAGAAATGTGAAAAAAAGAATTAAAACACATATATGCTGTTTGTGCTTTCTAGAAAAAAAAACGTAACTATGGGTAATATGGCAAACTCGTGGTGTTTTATAAAAAATTATTGAAGAGGTAAAAAAACCGCAGGCACCGGACAGTCGTGCTGGTTCATTTCGTATGTGACCCCGCACATTTGTGACCTTCCCCTCGGAGAGAATAGGTAATATAAGTACACCAACACTTATTGGCATCGAGCGTACGTACAATTGTATATGTTGTTATTATTATCATTATCATATTTTTGTAGATGATCTCCTGTCGATGATGATCATATAAATTGTAATGATGATGACAGAGCGGCTGATATAAACATGCGCAAATCCCGCAGAGGTGTTGTTGCCGCCGACACCTCGAGCTCAGACCAGCGCGTAACTCTTAATCTGAAGATCACGATCACGATCTTTACATGTTCACACCGTGGAAATTCTAGAAAACCCCAAATTTCTACGCTATTAGCATAATGAGCACGCAGACGTGTAGATACTAAGTATAACGGCGTGTACATGTTTAAAAAAGACTCGAAAAAGAAATTTATGCAAAGTCTGAACTCAATATATTTATTTATGATAAATAAACATCCGTATAACTATATCATGTTATCAAATCAAATCTTTAGTACAAATACAATTTTATTAGTGAGTGAAATAATCAAAATATGGACATTAATACAGGCCCATAACATACGATACAGTGATTAAACTTTACATAATATCAGGAGCATACTTTTATTCGGAACAAAAATCATCTCGAACAATATAGTTAGTAATATTAGAATCTATTTTCTCGACAATTTCAGTGTAATCAATGAGATTGTTTATAAAAGCATAATATCGAAAAATTAATATTTAATTTAAACCTCATATTAAAAAAATTACATTGAATTTTTTTAAATTTATTTGACGAACCTAATTGTCTTATATTCCAAACTTTGGAATAAAATTTTACTATTGCTCTTTTAGAGAAAATTATAGATGTGTTATCATGTTAATTAATATAACAAAAATGGTCTCTAACTAGACTTACTGTTTCATGGGAATGTAATTAATTGTGTAATCAATATTTTAAGAGGGTTTTTGGTGACTAAACGTTTGTATTTGTCAAAATTAATATTTAATCCATACATAATACATTCAATTATTGAGTAGTGTGGTGTGATCTCTAGACTATCAATGTTGATTGTCTATTTAGTTTATTCTAGAGATTTATTCAATCTCGTAAATGTTCTACTGCTGAAGTATAATGAAATCATCAGGAAATAATAAATTTTTATAATATTTGAATATTTTACTAGCATCATCTTGAGAGATTTCAGAAGCGACTTAAATACACTGAGATAGAAATCGTTTTTATTTTATTTGCTAAGAACAACTTAAAATACATCATTTAATCCAAAATAACAGTGAATTAATAACGCCAAGTTACGCTAATCTAATAATTAAAAGGTTTTTTTAAATCGAAACATATATATCGCGTTAGTATAGGATCGTATTAAACGAACATATATTTTATTTTTTTAAACTGAACTATTTAGTTTTTTCGTAGAAATAATTGTTACAACGATAAAAATTTTAGAATTAAAAGTTATAACTTTAGTTAATGTACCTCTAAAGTTATAAATAACTGTAATATTGTTGATGTATGTAACAGTATTTTATATATTAAGTAAAATACTTTAACTAAATTAATTATACATGTTACAATTATAATTTAACAAGTTAGTTAAAACTATGTGAATATGTAGATGTATTTTCAGTTTTTACTTAATTATTGACTGTAACCTTATTGATACTGCTAAACAATAAAAAGCGATATTTATTTAAATAAAGTTTGATATAAAAATATTGACTATGTTAGAAGATATTTCATTGAATATTTAATTAAAAATATTATGTTAATTTACAAAAATTTTTAAATTGCTCTAAACTTCTGTTCATTTTTCAAATAAGACAATATTATCTTATATTTATTTCTTAGTGACATTTAGTAAAAAAATATATGCCAGGAAGTAATGGGAAAATTTATTTTTATTATTAAAATTTTATTGCATTCATTGTACACAAGCTACATATATGTACGTCATTCTCCAAGTCGTGAGTGAAGGGTTAAAGTTATCAGCTATCGGATCTCTTGTGTTGACAATGAACGTTTGACAAATAAGTGAAACAAAGTGCCCGTAAAACTATGCATCGTAGTTCTAGTAAAAATAATACATACGCTTTAATATATATGCTGGGAAATAAACAAAAAAGGTGATTCCTCTCATAATGAATTGGAATCGACTAACAAAATATTTGCTTTCTATTTTCACTCTATTCAAACGTCCACATATTTTTCAAATTCACTTCAAGATAGTCTTTTTGCATGGCTTGAGGGTAAGTTAATAAGGTCATCTGTAAAAGTCGAGATTGTCAATATTATGTTGTTGTTTTTAGTATTTATAAGTGTCGTATACTATGAGATGAAAAATTACTTTGACTTACTTAAATATGATATTTATGAGTTGCTAGGTTACTAAACTTAAGGTAATACAATTAATGTAAGTCGATAACTTTTTCACAATAGAATTGAATACTATGTTTTTAAGGAATGAATAAAACTAAATAATTCATATAGATATATAAATTAAAAATCAATTCAATGTAAATAACACTATGAAATAATCCAAAAATTCCCATACGTCAATATGATATTTTAAATGTACACGTTATTTTACACACAAGTAGTGTAATTTCAAAATAAAATATCATAAATTCGTACACAAATATAAAATTTGTATCACTACTTATCCAATTGTTTCCTTACATAGTAAGTATTAAATATGTCCAATACATGAGTGTAATAATTGACTTATATAATAAACTATCTATTGATTTGCGTTAAGAGTCTTGCTGATGTTATATTTTAATATTTAATGAATATTTGATGTTAAATATAATATCCTTATTTAAGAAATGCATATGAATGCATTATATTAAATGACAATCAGTTTGAATAAATCATATTTACTTGTAAACTCATCGGGATGATCAATAGTTTAATATTTGTAATTTAAAATATGCATAAATTATNTATATTAAATGACAATCGGTTTGAATAAATCATATTTACTTGTAAACTCATCGGGATGATCAATAGTTTAATATTTGTAATTTAAAATATGCATAAATTATTGGCTTGTGTTGAGAATAAATTATTGCATTATAATTTGTCATAAAATTATAAAATGAATACTTGAATCATGGCCAAGTCGTATCCTCACTAACGTATACTGCTGTAAAAATAACAAATGGTTCACCGCTGTAAACCATTTGTAGGCGGTCAAATTATAAACACTTCATTCTTAATAAATTTTCTATTTCAGATTTAATAAAAAATATGAAATAAAAAAGTCTAATTCTTTGTATTTATCAATAATTTTTGTAAAAAAGTTGCAAGAGATCATATTTTTGTAAAATTGTGTTAATATTCTGTAATTTGTTTAACAATACTTAACTTTTAAGAAATTTAAATAAAAATTGAGTATTGAAAATGAACATTTTATGTGTCAAGTACTTGTTTATGAATGTTTTTATCTATTATAATGTTTTAATCTATTATAGAGATCAATACATAGGGTAGAGGATTAAGGTGATGTTTTTACTAAAACCTACCTCATAGATGATAACACAATGTACTTTTAGCTCTTTTATATTTGCAAACATAGTATATTATTTATAAGACTTCTCAGTTTGAATGCATTTAGTATTTTTCCATTTTAAATGCTTTTCCCCTTATTTGAAAATGTTTATAAGATAAAATATATTTACGGTAAAACGATGAAGTTGGTATTATAGTTTTTGTGCGCGTGGCTTATATACTATCCGAAGTCTCAAGTAGTCGGTTTATTATTTTATTCGATAAGTCCATTGATAGTAATCCGTGCATTCACGGTTTCTACATAAATCTCGATTATTGTGTGTACCACTGGTCTGGTTCACTGCGTTGCCACCAACGAGGAATAAAATGTATAAAGGACTTTCCTAAGGTGTATAAAGCAACATTGTCTCCATGGAAATTATTCCACGCTTCTTTTTAAGATTCAGGTAATATATTAGCAATTTTTTTGTGCGTCCATACCTATCAAAATATTATTTCTTTTTGTAGTGACAACGCGCTGAGGTGGCAGATCCTGCGGCAGTATTTTTGACTTTTTTACGCGAGCAAACACAAACAACACACCGAAAACATTAAGTACAATAGGATGAATCGGTTTGTAACGGCGTGTGTGTCTTTGGTTTGTTCGAGCGTGCGTGCATAATATACCTACAGCGAACACATTATAATGTATAAAAGCAATGCCGGACAATGGGGACTTGATGGCGTTCAGTTAGCGCAAAGGTATAGACTTGGTAGATAATTTAATATGGCAAAGAGTCTATGAAGCATTCAACATTATATATATATATATAGTGTTAATTTCGCCAATGCGTCGGAAAACGGTGGCGGTGACAGAGATGATATATATAAGTGTATATGAATGTCATTTGCTAAATAGAGGGCTTAATGACCCGTGAAAAATTTACTGTTGACAATAGCGACGGTCTATGTGTTTACCCTGACTCGGATCAAAACAAGAAGAGCGAGCAATAGACAGCGCAGGAAACATTTTGAATGGTAACGTCATCGATGAAGGGTCTCAAAGTCTAGCCTCATTCATTAGAAACTATTTTTTTTAACAGCGATTTTTCTAACGCAAATCAAGAACGGTTATTATTATTTATGAGTGTGTTCACCCATATATATGCTAATATGTATATTGATATATTTTTTTTTGTTATTTAACATTGCTCATCTAGGGATAACAATTGATTTTATTACAAAAATATTAGAAATAGTTATTTCTGTTTAAATTTTCACAATTTACTTTTTTAAATGTAAATTGAAAAATTGTCGAATTATTATTCTTTTTTTTTTTATAATTACGCATACTAAATATGTGTGATTATACAAAAAGAGAAATCTACATAATATTATAACAATTATCACTATAATAATATACGAGTTCAACTTTTATATTTGTTTATAATACTGTGATGTCGGTATTTTACAAATAAATGATATACATATTTAATGCTGGTAATCAAACTCACTAAAAAAGGAATAAATAAGTGTTATTGGTTTAAACCTTGAGTTGAGATTTTTATTTAATAATTTTATCTAATGATAATAAATTATTAATTGAGCTTTATGTTTTGAAGTTTTTATCTGATATTTTTGGTTTGGACCACAAATGAATTGCTTACAGGTAATAAATCACTGTGATGGAACAACTCGCGTACAAATAAATACACAAACAGATAAACTGTACAAAAGCTACTTTATTAAAGTGACGGAGTAAAGGGAGTTATCGTGTTGGGAGTCAACCAGCCGGCCACTGAACAGTCTCGCTTATTATATACCGTCACAATGGGATGAGATATTTTGACAACGATAGTGACATTACATTATGGTGATACCTATTTCTCCTGTGAGGGCTTTTTTCGTTTTTTTACTATCAAAAGGCAATACTGAATACATATACTGATCGGCCACAGTAACAAAACGACAGACTCAGGGAGACCATTATACAAGACCAGTNGCTTATTATATACCGTCACAATGGGATGAGATATTTTGACAACGATAGTAGTGACATTACATTATGGTGATACCTATTTCTCCTGTGAGGGCTTTTTTCGTTTTTTTACTGTCAAAAGGCAATACTGAATACATATACTGATCGGCCACAGTAACAAAACGACAGACTCAGGGAGACCATTATACAAGACCAGTCGACCAGAAATTCCGAATGTGAAAAGCGTACAAAAATTACGATCACCACGGTTTTGTTGACAAATTTCGCACCCCGCCAACTAGTGTGTATGTTTTTTGGGATTCGAAAAACTGATAACGGCCATCTGTCGGTAGCCAACAATAGGCAATAACAGTTTCATGTACTTATGTGACTTTTTCTTTTCATTTTATTGACTCCGTCACTACACTATATAGTGCCAAACAAAATATATCAGATAGGCGGGAAAATATTTACAAAAAAATATATACAACGACACTAATCTCGTTGTGGTCAATCTCTATGCTCTCCAGACATGCTCAGTATCAATCAATCACACAGTGATGCGTGTAAACGATAAGATGTAACCAATTGCTAAAATCAAGATTCGACAGTACTCACAATTGTTAAAAATCACATTGTACTTATTGGAAGGTATCATACAAATATTTGAACGTGATTAATACAATAATATACTATAGAATAGAGTTCAATATCAATAAAAATTACTTAATTTATTGGCAAATAAATTTTATCATTATTGTTCATAGGAAAAGTTTCATTTGTAAAAATAAAAAAAATGTTGTTTCTAACGAATTACAAACTATTTCATTAATTTCATAGTAATATAATAATAATAAATTTTATTCAATTATTTCTTTTTCAAACATACAACTGAAAAATCGTAGTGGTAACTATTTGAATTTGGAGTATTTTAAAAATAAAACGATGGAAAATGATTTTTAAATACACCGTACTGTTAAAATTTGTTACAGCCTAAAAGACTTTTCTCATAAACGAATATTTTACCAATTATTTAAATGTGAATTATTCAAGGCCTCTTTAAAATATTTGATTTTGGACTATACCAATATAAAGATATTAATAAATATTATATATATATTATAAATATAAATGATATTTATGTAGTTTTAAAGTTTGATAAGTGATAGTATAAGATAAGTATCAGTTGTAATTTAACCGTTCTTTGCGTGATTTGAGGTGGTATTACATAGAAAATTTTTCAAAACTAACAAACAAGAAATATTTTATTTTCATCTAGTAATTTTATTTGACTCTATGGATTTTGAACACGGAAATACTCTCTTCCCTATTTTGTTTCTGACTTACGGTATGACATACATAGCTGTTAGTTAACTAAATTATATCGACATAAATCGTGATTATACTAAAATCTGCAACGCTGCAAAATACAGTACATTTAAAAAAATTATTATGCTTAGGTTGAAATTAAGTTAAACTGTTAGTGCTAGTATACTTTAATGAGATAGGGATAAATTTATTCTTTCTTTATGTTCTTTTCGATTATATTTTTCTGGATAGTCCGAGTAAAAGTAATGTGTAATAATAAGTCATTGAATGTATGTAAAATAAACTAATATTATACGAAGAGTGACTAAATTAGGTTAAAAATAATTAAATATTATTTTATTATCATATTACGCAATGAGTGATACAAAATACGACACTTGCGTCATGTGCATTATCATGAGATGACTTGTGAACACACGATGTGATTGAGTTTTTTCTTGTTATAATTGCTTGCAGTATGACAAGATAATGTATTTTTAAGTTATTCACATAGCTGGTAGAATAATATTTTTTTTTTTTACACTGCACTAAGAGTTGCATAAAACAAATCGTCGTTATGGTGTTCGGTTGAACGTAATAATTAATTGATAAATACATCAGAGAAGATTGAGGAGTATGTGTCTTCTAATGATCACGGTAAAAAAACCTGCAGAGTTAACC